TGATCTAGCTCTGTCACAGTACCATTACTGTTACCATAGCCACATGCACGGGATTGTAAATTCCTTTTGTTTGTTTTCTAAGTATGGTTTTAAAAGTGCTTATCATTGTGCTAAAAGTGCTTATCATTGTGCTACAAACATATGTCTAACCTATATTCATCCAGTTTTCTGGATAGGAGAAAGACTGTTAATGCTTTGAACAAGAATTATTTTTGGGTCCCTTTGACTCAAAGGAATGAGTATACTGCCTTTTCTACAATGTAGATTTCATTACAGATTATAAATTGTAGGAATGATAATGTTTCTAAAACTTATCTCTTTTTGTAAACTCAAAACATTCATGTGAGCTCCAGGGCATCAACTTGGATCCACCACAAACAAGTCAGATGCACTGTCAAATGCACCTCAGATAAGTACTGTCAATCAACAACCTCTTTCTCAACCTACAACCTGTTCCTTAGGGGGAACTCCCCAATCTTCCTCCAGTTTTGGGACTCCCCTACCTTAATTACCCAGACCTAAGCAAAAATTTCCCCACTAAACTTTTTAACTTTATCTTTTGCTCTGCCAGCATTCTGCCAGGCCATCTCAAAGTCTGCACTCCTGCACAGCTTTAAAGTAGTTAGCCCCAAGTGGCCCAACCTCACAAACTGCTTTACCCAGCTCTGCACTGCTCTAGTGCTGGATGACCCCACAGAAGCGGGACAGCAGTGAAACATCCAGCTATCCCATGACTTGGCCAGCATCCCAGTTTAATCACATCCCCCAAAGATACAACACCTCCAGAAAACAAGAAGCAGTCTTGAGAACATGGAGCCCCCATTGCCACCTCACCAGCTACCCTTTTCTATTTCCTCACCTTTTTTTATAATAAACAAAAGGAAAGAATGTTAGCATTCAGACATTTACAGAGGCCTGCTCTTGGAGACCTAGCAGGACCTTTCAGCAGCAGCAGCAGCCAGTATGTGACACTGTAGCTGTCACAGCCACCAAGTAGAGCACACTCCCTATGTGCATGCACTATATCCAATTATAAAAGGCCAGCCCTTCCTGCCTGTCTCTCTTTTCTTTTTGCTCTCCCTCAAAGGCCTCCTCTGCACCTCACCCCCAATAAACCTCCTATGTGAGCTCTGTTGCATGGTATGACTTTATGGTGGTGCCCCTTGGTTCCAACACACTAAGGTCACCTTTCACCATTGAACTATCAAATAAATATTCATAGATCAGTGCATCACTCAGCTATGATCAGAGAAGCTTATTCTTGCAGTAGATGGGAAGTAACAAAGAGATCCACTACTGGACAATACACAGAATGTGAGAAGCTTTGAAGCATGCAGTCTTAAGTGATTTTTTTAAGTAATGAGAACACATAATTGGGTGATTATGAAATAGGATTTGGATCTGGGAGGACATGAGGGAGAAGGATGAACATGATCAAAATACATAACTAAAATTCTTAAAGAACTAATTGAACATTGAATATTAATCATTATTATAAAATAATATATATGCCCACATATATGTTTATAGATATACACACCAACACACACACACACCACACACACACACACACACACACATATATATATATATATATATATATATATATATATATATATATATGCCTCAATGCTAACATGTATAATTTCTAAGTTTTTTAACAAAAATATATAATGTAAAGTAAATCTCCAAATGCAATATCTTTAAATAAATTTTTATTATATTTTTTGGAGCATTTCATAGGTGAACACTGTATATATATATATATATATATATATATATTATATATATAATTTCTATCCCTTCCTCTCCCCTCCAACTCCTCCAATGCACCTCCCATTCCCTTCCAAATTTATGACATCTTTAATAATTATTATTGTCACATACATGATGTACTTTCTTGAATATGTCATAATGAAACCATCATTTCATATTCCATACGTTCACTTCTGAGGTAACATGGGAACAAAGACAATAAAGATCAGTGATACTGACCTTTATAAAAATTGTCGGTGGGCAATGATACTGGGTGGCATTGTTGAACTCTGGTTTGATGGTGGAGGTTAAAGCTTGTGTGGCTTGAGTGTACTTGGAATTTTACTTGAAAGAGTTGAGTGGATTTATCTTCTGTAGTGTTATATTATGTACCCCAATAAAGCTTCCCTGAGGATCAGAGGACAGAGCCAATGTGGCTTTCTCCTTCTCTAAAATCAAGCAAAGGCATGAGATCACAAGTGCTGGGATTAAAGGTGTGTGCTACCACTGCCTGGCTCTGTTTCTCTCCTAACTGAGTCAATCTCATGTAATCCAGGGTGGCTTTGAACTCACAGAGATCCAGGTGGATCTCTGCCTCCCAAGTGCTAGGATTAAAGTTGTGTGCCATCACTGTCTTGCCTCTATGTTTAATCTAGTGGCTTGTTCTATTCTCTGATCTTCAGACAAGGTTTATTTATCACTACAATCTTCTCTGCACAGGGACATAAACTTGGGATTTTTACTGAGACCCATGTACCACAGAGATCTATGTGATGATGCTGGGCAGACAGAGCTTTGAGGCCATGAATTAAGAGTTGAAATGAATTTTTTCCTGAATGGGAAAGTCTAAGGTCATCTCCAAATTCATGTCTAGCAGTGGGGGCTCTGACCAAGGCAGTATAAAATCAGAGATCCGTGATACTACCTCTACATCTATTACCAGCTTTACATGTCTCTTCTGAACTTCATTTATGTGATATTTCATTGGCATTAAGAACATTTAGTCATTAAAGACAGCTTTGTGGATAAAAGAGCTTACTACCAAGCCTAGAAATGTTTCAAGGATCTTACACGAGGGAAGGAGAGATTTGACTCTTCTGACTTCCACATGCAAAGTATGGCATGTGCACATACATACACATAACCTCCACTCCTCCTTTTAAATAAATCATGAAGGCATCACTGTAATTAAGATGCTAATTTTTCATCCTAGAGTATTATTTCTTCAGACTTTCATTGTAATCGAGCAAAATGCTGTGTTTTCAGCAGAAAATAATAAGTTCATACGGTAAATGGGGAAATAGTGATTTAAAATAATAGAAAAGGATACATGAAAGTAAGCCAAAGCATGATATGTATAAAGATGGGGGCCCAACCATGACTGATAGTGTAGGGTGTTCTCCAAGACCATTAGGTGAGGGGAAAGGGGGAACTGGTCAGCAAAACTCCATAGCCAAATGTAAGAGGATAAGTTTAATTTATGGGGAAATACCTCTCCACCCCAACAAACAGACTTACCCTTTAAACTCAATTCCCACTAGCCCTGGGTATATTTATGACAGCAGTTCTTTCACATGAGTGCTGTATTTTCTTACAAAACCACACTCAGTCCTCATATCTATTTTCCAGTCCATGGCACTGCAAAAGATGCATTGCTGTAGCTCTCATTCACATCTGCTTGTGACAAGCCTCAAACACCAGTATTCCAAGGACCACAAGGACCAAGCCAGCCATCCCCATTCTGAGGAGATTCTGCACCATGTGATGATCCTGTGACTCTGAGGCTATGGTTGTGGACAAAGAAGGCAGGGTGGTAAAAATCACCTGAGAAAGATCAGATACCAAAACCCTTGGGCATGCTCTGTGAGTGAGAATATTCCTACTCACCTGTCTTTGGTTTGGACATGTTTTGTGATGCAGTGATATTCCCAATAGATCCTAGGAACAGAAGAGAATGTACACAGTTTATAAAGTACTTAAGAGAGTTGAGTGTCTTCTCAAGTTCAACAATCATATTTCCTGTAATTACATATGAAGCAAATCATATAACTTCAGAGAGATACAGTATAATCCTTTTTTCCCTAGTTTGCCTGATTCCTTCTGATCTTCTTATTGGATTATTCACATGCATCAAGCTGATTGAGTTCATGCTTTGAGCTAAAACAGTTGAGCATGAAGTTTACTTCAATGTAGAGAACTAAGGGTTGGTGAAGAAAATAATCTCCCATTTCCAGTTCAGAATTAATAAAGCCCTTCTATGCTTTCTGGCCAGTCTGGAGCACAGGAACATGGAAGCTAATTCATGAATGAGAAATTGTGTATGAGGCCCATACTGAGTCTTTTTATTCAGTACCTTTTACACTCTTAGCCAGGCAATGTGAAAATGACTCTCATCACTCTCAGGTATTTTAGCTGCTGGTAACCCAGCAGGAAGGCATGTTGCTGAGGATTAAACCCAAATAATCCAGCTTTTATGCTTTTTCCCTGTTCTGGAACTACACTGCATGTCCTAGAAGGAAAGAGCCTGAATGCCCTGCCCAGATCCTGTCACATTCTCCTACACGATGTCACCATTGCAGTGTGGCATGTGTCAAGACAATTGCAGAAGTGGTTTCTAGAGAATTCCCCTCTATGAGAAAGACAGAGATAAAGTTGGAACTAAAAGCACCTTAAGATTTAGGCCAGGGCTCTTCTGTTTACCCTTATAGAAACTGGGAATCACACAGGAGAGGGGCCATGTTGAGCATACTGCTTGAATCCCAGCATCCTGGTCATCATGCAGGCAGATACAGAAATAAAGACTTCCAGGACCTCAGAGTTTTCACACTCTGGGATGGAACAAACTCCCTAGACAGGAAAA